AAAAGCTGGCCTCAGTTACATATTTAGGAAAAGTACAAGTATTTTAATAATTGGCAACAAGTATAGTCAGTTTTTTTTTTTTTTTTTAAATAGAGTTTTGCTCTTGTCACCTAGGCTGGGGTGTAATGGTGCGATTTCAGCTCATTGCAACCTCTGCCTCCCAGGTTCAAGCGATTCTCCTGCTTCAGCCTCCCAAGTAGCTGGAATTACAGGCTAATTTTCTTTCTTTTTTTCTTTTTTTTTAAGATGGAGTTTTGCTCTTGTTGCCCAGGCTGGAGTGCAGTGGTATGATCTCTGTTCACTGCAACCTCGGCCTTTCAGGTTCAAGCAATTCTGCCTCAGCCTCCCGAGTAGCTGGGATTACAGGCGCATGTCACCAAGCCCAGCTAATTTTTTTTTGTATTTTTAGTAGAGATGGGGGTTTCGCCATGTTGGTCAGGCTGGTCTTGAATGCCTGACCTCAGGTGATTCACCTGCCTCGGCCTCCCAAAGCCCTGGGATTACAGACATGAGCCACCATGCCCAGCTATGCCTGGCTAATTTTCTGTATTTTTAGTAGAGATTGGGTTTTGCCATGTTGGCCAGGCTGGTCTCGAACTCCTGGCCTCAGGTTATCCTCCCACCCCGGCTTCTAAAGTGATGGGATTACCGGTGTGAGCCACCACTCCTGACTTGTTTTTCTTAAAGTGATAAACTCATTTCATTTATTTTTGAGAAAATGTTTGCCAAATACTTAAATCTGAACAACTGTACTTTGTGAGTCATTCTTTCAAGTAAAAATAATGTTTCATGAAAAAAAGCTAACAACTCAATTACAAGTGGTTTTCTTTTAGATGACCATCGTACTTAGATATGCATTAGCTGGGCATGGTGGCATGTGCCTGTGGTCCCATCTATTCAGGAAGCTGAGGCAGGGGAAGATCGCCTGAGTCCAGGAGTTTGAGGCTAAAGTGCTTCATGACTGAACTTGTAAATAGCCACTGCACTCCAGTCTGGATAACATAGTGAGACCCTATCTGTAAGAAATTTTTTTAAAACCATACTTTATGATGGCTGGGTGCGGTGGCTCACGCCTGTAATCCCAGCACTTTGGGAGGCCAAGGCGGGCAGATCATGAGGTCAGGAGATCGAGACCATAGTGAAACCCCATCTCTACTAAAAATGCAAAAAAGTAGCCGGGCCTGGTGGCGGGTGCCTGTAGTCCCAGCTACTTGGGAGGCTGAGGCAGGAGAATAGCTTGAACCTAGTAGGTGGAGCTTGCAGTGAGCTGAGATCGCACCACTACACTCCAACCTGGGTGACAGAGTGAGACTCGGTCTCAAAAAACAAACAAATAAACAAAAAAACATACTTCATGATTACTTCTCCTTTTGTCATACTGAGGGTTAAAAAGACTATTTAAGGGTCAGGTTTTAATGAAATGAATACTGTTTATGGCTTTATTAAGGATATGCTTAAGGGAAACTGATTTTGCTTACAATGTGTATGTAACTGAAAAATAGAGTGACGACTACAACATTTTGAATCCTACTGCCTTGATTTATGTTAAGGCACTATTTTAATTTAGGCATTTAAAGATAGAGCATACTTCTTCAATGATTAGAAGAAACACAGATGTAAGTAAAGATTTTATTACTTACAGGCCCGGAGGGCATTTGGCACACCTGGAGGTCAAGGAATGCAGTCAGGGAAAGAGAAAGAGGGACTCATGAGCCAACGCATTCATTGGTTTCATGGTGTTTTCCAAATAGATTTCCCAAGAGGAATTCCCACACTTTAATTGGTGGATTTAAAGCAATCATGCACAAATTTGAGGACAAGCTCGTCAGCTCAGAATGGCTTTGAATGTAGCCCAACACAAATTTGTTAACTTTCTTAAAACATTATGAGATTTGTGATTTTTTTTTTTTTTGAGCTCTCAGCTGTTGTTAGTGTATTTAATGTGTTGCCCAAGACAATTCTTCTTCCACTGTGGCCCAGGGAAGCCAAAAGATTGGACACCCCTGTTGTTGGAAGTCATGCTGTGATCGAGGTAGTCACTGTGGCATATCTGCACAGTCCATGTAGGACGTCAGGGTCAGCAGGGCTGGTGAGGTAGGCTGTATGTAGTTATCCTATGGGGAGGTGGGCACCAGGAGGAAGTTTTACATAATAGATACCTGGATTGATCACACTGAGGAACGGGGAGGAGGTGTAGAACTGCAAACTGTGTCAAGGGTGACTGAACCCTGCTTCTGATATGAGAAAGTCCAACTTATATTCAAAATAAATGCTAAGACAATATAAAATTATAAGAATTTGGCCAGGCGTGGTGGCCCACGCCTGTAATCCCAGCTACTTTGGGAGGCTAAGGCTGGCGGATCGCCTGAGCTCAGGAGTTAGACACCAGCCTGACCAGCATGGGGAAACCCCATCTCTACTAAAAAAAAAAAAAAAAAAAAATTAGCTGGATCTGGTGGCGCATGCCTGTAATCCCAGCTACTCAGGAGGCTGAGGCAGGAGAATCACTTGAACCTGGGAGGGAGAGGTTGCAGTGAGCCAAGATTGCGCCAGTGCACTCCAGCCTGGGCAACAAGAGCGACACTCTCTCTCAAAAAAAAAAAAAAAAAAAACAATTCACTACAGGCACCCGCAGATTTACCCATTGTTAACCCACTTCCCATTTTCCCTGAGAATACTCACTGTTGGTGCTTGCTGCTGCAGCCTTTACCCCAATATAACTCACAGATTATGGTCCCAACCTAACACCCAAAGTTTATGTCTATTATTTTATTATTTTTACATCACTCTATTATATTGACTTTGGAAACATACATTATTCTATTTATAGCATTCTGTTTTTAGTAGTGGAATTTCCATTTACAAAATATAGTAATTCTCGATCGCTGAAAATGTCAAATCCTAGAAAACATAGCATTCCTATGTGTGATGTTGTAAGTTCCGTGGTGAACTTATGGCACTGAAATGGTGTGACAACAAGGTGGTCACAATGTTGTCAATATTCCACAATGATACGGTGATTGAAGTAGACAACAGATGGAAAGAAAACTAAGAAGCCATGTGTCATTGTGGATTATAGTGACAATATGGAGCAGCGGACTTGGCTGATCAGATGCTCACTTCATATCCAGCTTAGCGCCAAAGGTACAAGGTTTGGTATAAGATACTCTTCCATAGGCTGAGTGCAGTGGCCCACGTCTGTAATCCTAGCACTTCTGGGAGGCTGAGGCGGGTGGATCACTTGAGGTCAGGAGTTTGAGACCAGCCTGGCCAACATGGTGAAACTTTCTCCACTAAAAGTGCAAAAATTAGCTGGGTGTGGTGGCAGGGCCTGTAATCCCAGCTGCTCGCGAAGCTGAGGCAGGAGAATTGCTTGAACCCAGGAGGCGGAGGTTGGAGTGAGCTGAGATCGCGCTACTGCACTCCAGTCTGGGCGATGGAGTGAGACTCCGTCTCAAAAAAGAAAAATTAGTCGGGTGTGGTGGCAGGCACCTGTAATCCCAGCTACTCAGGAGGCTGAGGCACAAGAATCGCTTGAACCCAGGAGGTGGAGGTTCATTGAGCCGAGATTGTGCCACTGTATTCCAGCCTGGGTGACAGAGTGAGATTCTGTCTCAAAAAGAGAGAAAGAGATTCTTCTCCACCTTCTGAACATTGAAGTGTTGAACTCCCACATTCTGTTTAAGAAGGACAATCCTGAGCACATGATTAGCCTTGTAAACTTCAGCCTGACAGGCCAGGTACAGTGGCTCACGCCTTTAATCCCAGAACTTTGGGAGGCCGAGGTGGGCAGATGACAAGGTCAGGAGATTGAGACCATCCTGGCCAACATGGTGAAACGCTGTCTCTACTAAAAATACAAAAAATTAGCTGGGCATGGTGGCAGGTGCCTGTAGTCTCAAATACTCAATAGCCAGGCGTGGTGGCGCACACCTGTAGTCCCAGTTGCTCGGGAGGCTGAGGCAAGAGAATTGCTTGAGCCCAGGAGGTGGAGGAGGTTGCAGTGAGCTGAGATCACGCCACTGAACTCCAGCCAAGGCAACAGAGGGAGACTTGGCCAAAAAAAAAAGTTGGGGCACAGTGGCTCAGGCCTGTAATCTTAGCACTTCGGGAGGAAGAGGTGGGCGGATCACGTGAGGTCAGGAGTTCAAGACCAGCCTGGCCAACATAGCAAAACCTCGCCTCTACTAAATACACAAAAATTAGCCGGGTGTGGTGGCAGGCGCCTGTAATCCTAGCTACTCAGGAGACTGAGGCAGGAGAAGAGCTTGAACCCGGGTGGCAGAGGTTGCAGTGAGCCGAGGTCGGCCATTGCCCTCCAGCCTGGGCAACAGAGTGAGACTCCACCTCAAACAAACAAAACAAAAACAAAAGCAAAGGGTGTCTCCTGTAATCCCAGCACTTTGGGAGGCCAAAGTAGGCGGATCACTTGAGGTCAGGAGTTCGAAACCAGCCTGGCCAAAATGGTGAAACCTCCTCTCTACTAAAGATGCAAAAAATTAGCTGCATGTGGTGGTGGACGCCTGTAATCCCAGCTACTTGGGAGGCAGAGACAGGAGAATCACTTGAACCCAGGAGGCAGAGGTTGCAGTGCGCCGAGATCACGCCATTGTACTCCAGCCTGGGCGACAGAGACTCCGTCTGAAAACAAAAACAAAAAAACAAACCAAAACAAAAAAAAACAAAAATTAGCCGGCGGGCATCTGTAATCCCAGCTACTCAGGAGGCTGAGGCAGGAGAATCGCTTGATCCCGGGAGGCAGAGGTTGCAGTGAGCTGAAATCGTGCCACTGCACTCCAGCCTGGGCGACAGAGACTCTGGCTCAAAAAAAAAAAAGAAAAAAAAAAAAGGAAAGGATGTTATGTTATGGAAACTCCAGATACCACTTCTCCCCTCCAGTGGTCTGAGTTGCGCGGCGCTTTCCCGCCTGTCCGGTAGGGCGGCGCCGCGCAGAAAGCCGCGGTCCCTTTGCGGAAGGTGCCGCTCTTGGCTTTGGCGGCGCCGCTGTCGCTTGGAGGCGGTACTTCCTCCGGGATTTGCCGCGGGTTAGTGGCAAGTTCCTCTGCAGTTGTTTAGGCTGTGACTGTGGCCCATTTTGCGGTGTGCGGCCAGCGATGGAGCGCTCTGGGCCCAGCGAAGGTGGGTTTCATGAGGCGAGTCCGAGCGTGGTGGGCCGTGTCCGGGGCGCCGGGGCGCCGCACTAACTAGGCCTCCTCTCTTTTCCTCTTGCTCCAGCGACAGGCTCAGACGCGTCGGGACCGGACCCGCAGCTTGCGGTCACCATGGGCTTCACTGGGTTCGGTAAGTGATTGCTCCAGGCAGAGCTCCTTTTCCTTTTGCACAGGTTTGAAGAACCGCAGAGTGGGAGGGGAGATCGAGCTGTCAACTCGGAATTCCTGTAGCTCGGGTGCATACCTTTCAGTCTGTCAATACTCTTCTCCCATTTGTCTTCTATTCTGCGTATCCGTTAGAAGCAACTCAGAAGACAATTATGAGAGTCCTGGAGAGAGAGGAAGAGAAAAGATGTTTCTAATTTTAAGTCACTAATAATGCTAAAATGAACATTTTTTGTAAATAATAGCATTTGTACGAGGATTTTTAAAAATATGTAATTCTGTAGGGTAGATTTCTAAAAGAGAGCCTAGTTTATACAGAAGTATAAATATTTAAAAAGCTGAAAAATTGGGTATGTGTCTTTTAAAGCTGCTTGCTGCTTATTGTCGTAATACCCATCAAAAAGCTTGTTTTCAGGTTATACCAAAGTTAACAGAATTTAAGAATGCCATTTTTACCATATCCCTACCAACACAGAGTAGGTATTGTTTAAAAAGAAAATTATTTAAAAAATGAAAACAAGACTTTACTAGACTGATACATGAAAAATGTTTTCTCTTTATTTTGCATTTTAAAATTGTAAATGCTGTTCATCCAAACATTGGGATTCTAACTTCCCTGAACCTTTCCTCAAGGTGGTCTTGTTGTCTTTTGACCAGCCTGTATTAATTCTATGATAATGATTAAATAATAGACTTACACATGTTGACCTTGGGTTGTGTTCACACCTACTAGTTCTGTAGTTTTTCTATTCTTTTTTTTTTTTTTGTAGACTGAGTCTGGCTCAGTCGCCCAGGCTGGAGTGCAGTGGCGCCATCTCGGCTCACTGCAAGCTCCGCCTCCCGGGTTCATGCCATTCTCCTGCCTCAGCTGGGACTACAGGCACCCGCCACTAATATTTTTGTATTTTTAGTAGAGACGGGGTTTCACCGTTTTTGCCAGGATGGTCTTGATCTGACCTCGTGATCAGCCCGCCTCGGCCTCCCAAAGTGCTGGGATTACAGGCGTGAGTCACCGTGCCCGGCCTTTTCTATTCTTTTTTTTTTATTTTTTGAGATGGCGTCTTGCTCTGTCACCCAGGCTGCAGTGTACTAGTGCGATCTTGGCTCACTGCAGCCTCCACCTCCCAGGCTGAAGCCTTCCTCCCACCTTGGTCTCCTGAGTAACTGGGATCACAGATGTGTGCCACCACACCTGGCTAATTTTTTATACTTTTGGTAGAGATGAGGTTTCACCATGTTGCCCAGGCTGATCGATCTCCCTAGCTCAAGCGATCCTCCCACTTGAGCCTCTCAAAGTGATTATAGGCATGAGCCACCCTACCCGGTATAAATCCTTCATTTTAGTACCTCATTCCTTTACTCAGAAGTGAGAAAGGTGTCCACATGTTTGTGCCACGTAGGGGAAAATTAGTTACTGGGGGAGGAGGAGAATGTTTCCATGCTCATACAGTTCCTTGTTATAGGGCTGAGATTTCTGTTTTCCTCTTAGCTCCTTAAAGTACCTGCATTACTTCTCATGTTGCCCCTTTCATCTTCAAGCCAACTACAATGCCTCAAATCCTTCTCAAACATTGGATCTCTCTGACTTTTTCTGCCGTAGCTGTTCTGCATCTTTGCCTTTAAGGGCCAACTAGGATAGTCTCCCTATTTAAAAGTCCATAACCTTTATTACATCTGCAAAGGGTAACTTTTGGGACATTCTCCATTCTGCCTCCTGTATTAGTGTTGTTGTTTCTTAGAGTAGAGATCTAGGTAAATTAGAGGAGGATGGGAAAGTTGACTGATTAATAGTACTTAGTGAAGGGATTGTCATCAAAAGTTATCTGTGACTCAAACTCCTTCTGTGATATTTTATGGTTATATTGGAGCTATGTTATAAACAGACAAACTGAGTGTTTATTGATCAATATTGATCACCTGAAGTGTGGCCAACTTACTGCAAGGCAATCGCAGTCTGCCATTTGTTCATGTTTTAGGTAAAAAAGCTCGCACATTTGACTTGGAAGCAATGTTTGAACAAACTCGAAGAACAGCTGTGGAAAGAAGTCGCAAAACACTGGGTAAGAAGTTCAGATATTTATCCTTTTATTGGTTTAAGTACTATGTATACCTCATGCAAGTATATTAAAAAAGAAAAAAGAATGTGATTGGGCGCGGTGACTCACACACGTAATCCCAACACTTAGGGAGGCCGAGGTGGGCGGATCACCTGAGGTCAGAAGTTTGAGAGCAGCCTGGCCAACATGGTGAAACCCCATCTCTACAAAAATACAATAATTAGCTGGGCATGGTGCTGGGGCCTGTAATCTGAGCTACTCATGAGGTTGAGGCAGTCGCTTTGCTTGAAGTCGGGAGGTGGAGGTTGCAGTGAGCTAAGATCCCGCCGTTGCACTCCAGCCTGGGGTATAAGAGTGAAATTCCATCTCAGAGAAAAAAAAGTGTTGTTATACTGCTTGTCATTGTTGGATTTTTTGTTGGTGTTGAGATGGAGTCTTTCCCTGTTGCCCAGGCTGGAGTACATTGGCGGGATCTCGGCTCACTGCCGCCTCCACCTCCTGGGTTCAAGCGATTCTCCTGCCTCTGCCTCCTGAGTAGCTGGGACTACAGTCACATGCCACCACGCCTGGCTAATTTTTTGTATTTTTAGTAGAGACAGGGTTTCACTGTGTTGGCCAGGCTGATTTTGAACTCCTGACTTTGTGATCCATCTGCCTCGGCCTCCCAAAGTGCTGGGATTACAGGCGGAGCCACTGCACCCCTGCCTTTTTTTTTTTTTTCTTTGAGATGGAGTCTCGCTGTATCACCAGGCGGAGTGCAGGGGTGCGATCTCAGCTCACTGCAACTTCCACCTCCCCGGTTCAAGCAATTTTCCTGCCTCAGCCTCCTGAGTAGCTGGGACTACAGGTGTGTGCCACCACGGCCAGCTAATTTTTGTATTTTTAGTAGAGATGGGGTTTCACCATGTTGGCCAGGATGGTCTCATCTCCTGACCTTGTGATCTACCTGCCTCCCAAAGTGCTGGGATTACAGGTGTGAGCCACCGCACCCGGCCCAATTTATCATTTTAAAACCAACAATGGGCCGGGTGTAGTGGCTCACACCTGTAATTACAGCACTTTGGGAGGCTGAGGCAGGCGAATCACCTAAGGTCAGGAGTTCAAGACTAGCCTGGCCAACATGGTGAAACCCCGTCTCGACTAAAAATAGAAAAATTAGTGAGGTGTGGTGGTGGGCACCTGTAATCCCAGCTTCTAGGGAGGCTGAGGCAGGAGAATCGCTTGAACCTAGGAGGCAAGGGTTGTGGTGAGCTGAGATCGCACCATTGCACTCCAGCATGGGCAACGAGAGCAAAACTCCATCTCAAAGTAAAATAAAATAAGATAAGATAAAATAAGATGAAATAAAAAAATAAGCCACAAGAGCAAAACTCCATCTCAAAATAAAATAAGATAAAATAAAATATATAATATAAAATAAAATAACTAAAATAAATAAAGTATTGTACAGCAGCAATATCCAGTATTTGGCAGTGTGCCTGACAAAAAATATTTTCAGTCTTTGGAAGAAAACTTTTTTTGTGGTGAAAAGAAAGCTATCTACATGTACTATTTTTTTGAAAGAACTATTCATTACTTGTTTTATTTGAGATGGTGTCCTGCTCTGTTGCCCAGGCTGGAGTGCAGTGGCACGATCTCGGCTCACTGCGACCTCTGCCTCTTGGGTTCAAGTGATTCTCTTGCCTCAGCCTCCTGAGTAGCTGGGATTACAGGTGACCATCACCACGCCCGGCTAATTTTTTTGTATTTTTAGTGGAGACATGATCTCACCATGTTAGCCAGGCTGGTCTCGAACTTGTGACCTCAAGTGATCTGCCCGCCTCGACCTCTGAAAGTGCCGGGATTACAGGCGTGAACCACCGTGCCAGGCCAAAACCCATTATTATTATTTTGAGACGGAGTCTCACTCTGTTGCCCTGGCTGGAGTGCAGTAGTGCGATCTTGGCTCACTGCAAGCTCTGCCTTCTGGGTTCACGCCATTGTCCTGCCTCATCCTCTAGAGTAGCTGGGACTACCAACAGGTGCCCACCAACACCCCTGGCTAATTTTGTTTTTGTATTTTTAGTAGAGATGGGGTTTCACCGTGTTAGCTAGGATAGTCTCGATCTCATGACCTTGTGATCCACACGCCTCGGCCTCCCAAAGTGTTGGGATTACAGGTGTGAGCTGCTGCGCCCAGAAAAACCCCTCATTATTATGTGAAATTTCAAACACGGAAGTATAGTCATGAACTACCATGTACCTGTCAATCAGATTTAACTACTGTAACAGTTCATGGCTAGTGTTACTTCTGTTTCCCCTTTCAGATGATTTTGAAGCAAATCTTGGACATCATTTTACTCACAAGTATTTTTGTATGTATTTTAAAATGGTAAGGATTGTTTTAAAAAAAGCTTAACCAAGATACCTGTAAGCGATAGGAAAGACCAAGCTGTTTCTTACCCTCTCACACTCCTCTCAGTACTTCACTCCTTTTTTTTTTGATTTGAGGCAGGGTCTCACTGCTGTTGCTCAGGCTGGTGTGCAGTGCGTGACCTTGGCTCATTGCAGACTCAACTTCCCGGGCTCAGGTAATCCTCCCACCTCAGCCTCCCAAATAGCTGGGACTGTAGGTTGGTGCTACCACACCCCACTAATTTTTTGTATTTTTAGTTGAGGTAGATTTCACCATGTTGGCCGGGCACAGTGGCTCACACCTGTAATCCCAGCACTTTAGGAGGCCTAGACGGGTGGATCACAAGGTCAGGAGAGCGAGGCCATCCTGGCTAACATGGTAAAACGCCGTCTCTACTAAAAATACAAAAAAAAAAAAAAAAAAAAAAAATTAGCTGAAGCAGGAGAATGGCATGAACCTGGGAGGTGGAGCTTGTAGCGAGCCAAGATCGCCCCTCTGCACTCCAGCCTGGGTGACAGAGCGAGACTCTGTCTCAAAAAAAGAAAGAAAAAAGAAAGATTTCACCATGTTGTCCAGGCAAGTCTTGAATTCCTGGGCTCAAGTGATCCACTTGTCTTGGCCTCCCAAAGTGCTAGGATTACAAATGTGAACCAGTACTTTATTTCTGACACCAGATATATAGGAGTTTTCCCCCACACATCAACCAGTTTTCCAACTGGGTATTCGGTAACTCACTTTAATTCTGACACTGTCTGCCTGGAGACTACCACAAGACTGCCTTCACTCAGACACTAATCTCAAGTCACAGGTTGTGACCAGTGCTTCTAATCTGTCTATAAATCAGGGTTCCCATGACTCCTCTTTTTGGTTTGATAATTAGCTAGGATGGCTCACAGGGAAACACTTTACTTAGTTTTAACAGTTTATTATAAAGCGTGTTATAAAGGATACAGATGAACAGCCAGATGAAGTAATGCATTGGGCAAGGTATGGAGTGGGAGAGGTGCAGAGCTTCTGTGCCCTCTCTGGGTGCACCAACTCCCCAGCATCCCCCTGTGTTCAGCTACCCTGAAGCTAATCACATCTAGTGGTTCAAGAGTGTCTAGGCTGGGCGCAGTGGCTCACATCTATAATCCCAGCACTTTGGGGGCCAAGGTAGGAGGATGACTTGAGCCCAGGAGTTTGAGACAAACCTGGGCTAACACAGTGAGATCCTGTTCAAAAAAGTTTTAAAAAATTAGCTGGGCATGGTGGCGCACACCTGTAGTCCCAGCTACTTGGGAGGCTGAGGTGAGAGGGTCACTTGAGCCCAGAGGTTGAGGCTGCGGTGAGCTATGATCATGCCACTGCATCACAGCCTGAGTAAAAAAGCGAGAGCCTGTCTCAAAAGAAAAACAAAAATTTTTTCTATAGATCTTAATTTCCAGCTTCCCCAGAGATTGGTGGGTGGGGATGAAAGTTCCAATTATCTAACCCGTCAGTTTTTTTAGTGAGCAGCAGTCCCATGCTGAGGCCTAGGGGTCCCACACTAAGTCACTTCAATAGCATAAACTTAGGTGGGATCCAAAGGGGCTTCTAGTGAATAACAAAAGAGAGCTCCTATCACTCAGGAAATTCCAAGGGTTTCAGAAGCTCTGTGGCAGGAACCTGAAACAAAGACCAAATATATTTCTTTTTTTTTTTTTTTTTTT